GATGCAATACTGTACTACATGTTGAAAATTCCATATTCGTACAAAAAAGTATTGTTTGGAATAAAGCTATTGTTATTACTGTTCAAAATGTGCAGTCATTTCATACGAAGCAAAATGTGTATTGAATTTTACATGGAATTTGTTTATGACTTGAATAGAAAAACTTTTTTTTACCATTTATGCATTCTGTAGTCAAATGTACATCGTGAAGGTATGTTGGCTGGAAGACTGTTGATAAGCAGTGTGGTCTGGATCTAAAAGTCAGTTAATTAAAACTAGTACTAATTTTTTGATAATATTATAACCTCTTTACCTGACCGAATCATTTGGTTACAAAAACGGAATGGTGTTGAGAATAAATATAAGGCATATACAATTCTGCCATGTAAGGAGGGGACGTCTAAGACCCTACGTAGGATTCTTAAAAAAGCACGAACTAGAGTGGCCTACAAACTCACTCAGGAACAAGCTCTGTATGTTAAAGGACCTTGTAGGTTGATCCAATTAAACAAAATAATATGATTTACAAAATACCCTGCAATGACTGTGAGCTAGGTCAGCTACATAGGTCAAACTAGTAGATCGAGGGTAGTCAGATTTTATTTTTTTTTGGTCGGAACATAAGAATTTAGCTAGGGTAAGAATCATTGATCCTACGAAGGTAAGTAATTTAGAAAAAAGCTCAGCGATTGCACTGCATGCATTAACATACAACCACACAATAAGGTGTGTGGAAGAGGGTTAAAATTCTAAGAAGTAATACAGATAGGTGGAGATAGGTTGATTACTGAATCCCACCATGTTAATGTCGGGAATGACTCATTACTCATACCGGAAATATGGAAAATATTACTACCAATCAAATCAAGCAATGAAAAATAGTGGAATTATATAAACGGAGTTAGATAGTTGTGTGAGCATCTTGATATGATTATGAGCGGCAATAAATTGTGCTCGAAACATGGTCATCAGTAAATATTACTGCATAACATCCACAATGGAATTATACTCTGCCACAGAGCACAAATTATATTCTTATATCAGTAAAACTGTTGTACGTTAACATTACCAGCTATAAACAGAACAAAGTAAGCATTGAACTAAGATCACAACATTCATGACTGGGAAGAGAAATGAGTTAGGATTTGGGAATTGAGGAGAAATTACAAGGTAACTGTATCTGCAGTATTATGACATATTTCATCTGGACTATCTTATTTCCTACCTCATCACATGGCCAGAAATATCCTAGTGGACTGACGTTTTTGATATGAACTAATTGAACACACATTACATTGACACTGCTTGTCTATTAGGCACAATTTTTAACAATTATTAATTGTCGTTTCTAAATTTATCCACCTCTCATACATAGTCAATATTCCGTTTCTTCATTGAACGTGTACGAGCCAACTTGCATATTATTTTATGCATGAGCCCAATTGGTGAACCATTTCGTAATCGTATTCGAATGTTTCCAGCCTTTGTTAATTGTACTACAATTGATTGGTTTAGTGAATGGCCACTTGAAGCTTTATTAGAAGTAGCTGAGAAATATTTATCTTCTGTTGATATTAATATTAATGAACCAGATGTAAGTTTTTTAACTTTTTTTTCTTTAGTATTTATTACATTTTGTATGCATTGAATGTATCCTATATATGTGATATATGAGACTATAAAAGTTAGTTCTGCCTGCATCCTCACTGCACCCTTCAATACTACATAAAGGTTATTTTACAGTTGGTGGTTTCTAACACTGTATCCCAGTTAGCTATCTTTCTGATAGGACCCAGAATAAAATAGTATATCATCCTCTCTCACGAATCGTGTGATTTATCTTGGGATGGAGTTACTATGTAAATGTATTATTTGTCACTCATATTGTGATTTAGTGTGTGATTAATTCACATCGTCTTTTGTTTCACCTTGGTCTTTGTCGCATAACCAACCAATCAGAATAGACATTCCCAGCCAATAAGAACAGTCCATTCTCACGGCTGTGAGTCAACTGTATTGTGATGAATTAAATATTAGGATCTGATGTTTTGTTTCCTAATAGATAGTATAATACAATATCTTACAGTCTCAGGCCAACAATTGTCTTTTGATAATTGAGTGGCTCAGTGAATCGGATGATACAACGAACGAATAGACACGTATTACCGTACTAGTCGAGTTCATTACCGTTATAATAATTAACAGGCACAGATATAACAAAGTAGAAACGGGCTATTCAGTTCAGCATCACTTATAACACTTTCATTATTGTTGATTCTTTCATTGAATTTTTTTTTATTTTCCCGTCGATTGATTGTACCGAAGTGCTCGGTCTCAGGTTGACATGTCGGCTAGTCACCATCCACCAATTAAATACTAAATGCCCAGACATTGTCGAAGCATCTGCACAAGAAGCCGACATGTCAACCTGAGACGAGCACTTCGGTCCAATCAATCGACGGGAAAATCAAAAAAAAATAAATTAAATAAGTATTTATTTTTTTGATTACAGCTTGATATGACACCTTATTTTTAGTTCAGCGTGAACATCGGTAGCCCAAATTTCGCAGGCCGACCATAGATATCAGGTGTGCGTCGGCGTGGGCTGGAACCCCGGACCATATGTATGGTCGGCGAGAGTCCTAACCACTGTGCCACCGACGCACCTGCTGCACAATAGGTGGCTGTCGTGGCCCAAGTGGTCTATTGAATAACTCTTTGGCGTTTGAAACTATGGACACTGAGTTCGAGCCTCTATGGGAACATCATCACTCACTGAGAAATGTAGGTACATCCAGATGACGAGTCCCAAATAGGACGAAATGCGCATCCTGGATTCCACTGCTAGTCACCATTCACCAATTAAATTGTTGATTCTTATTCAGCCTAAAGAGTAATTACGTGGAATGCATACATGATATCCAATCGGCATAAACTTCACCAGCTAGACTGCATGATACTCATTCCCTGAGCTATGAGTAGAACATGAGGCTTCAACCTTCAGACCTTGAATTTTCAGTAGCCGTGGTATTGTTTTCTACAGGGTTGGATTGCTAGCCTTACGTCCAACCTTCCCTAAACAGACTGGGATCGAACTCCTGACCACGTGTGTCGTTGGTGAGCATTCTACCTCTGAACCACTAATGCACATGATATTTGTTTACACTACGATTACTGAATAAATAAAACACTTATACAGCAGAAAGACTGGATTTAACAAGAAAGTTCAAATTCCAAGTCAATAAAAAATTATCAACGTAAATTGACAACCAATCATGACAATGGCTGTCAAGAGATACAATGATATCATCCTTAGAGAATTCAAACAAGTTCATTTCATATTAAAGCTTGCGCTGAAGATGTTGTCTAGATGAACAACGAAAGCTTCTCAATGCAATCAACCAGCTCAGAGAATACTACTAAATCGAAATCATCCACCTGAATTACAAAGCTTCTCTATTATTAATTATTCACTCTATTTTGTCTCATATTAGTTTAACTGAGAAGGTTTTAGAAAGTAGTATAGTACTGATAATACTAGATACTTACGAATTTATCTGGCTTCTGTGTATTCGTCATATGCAGACGGCTGATACAGAATCCCAGAAAAAGGCTTTTACCTGATTCAAAATACTTAGGTAAAATGGTGTAACAAAATAAATAGAAGTACTACTTTGTGACTGAGGAAACTGGTGAAGATATACAGCTATGGTAGCATAGTATGAAAAGAAATAGAATTATTGTGGAGCCTTACAGCTAAAAGTACATTTCAGTCGAAAAGATGAACTGATTAAACAGTATTATTATTGTTGTTTAGACCTTACTAAAGCCTTGGTAATACATTGATATCAACGTAGATCTTGCTGGCTCTTATCACACACAACCTTAAGTTCCATTAAACCTTTGGAAAATTAGCTTTATCAGGAACGGCTTGCTTAAGCCACTGCTCTACTGCTTAAACTTCCCAATTTCCCTGATATATACATATGTGCGTTTGTTTGACAGTCTGTTATATTTGCTAGTATATGGATCGATATTCCATTATAATTAGCAGTCATGTTAAGACTGTCTATTGATCATTTTGAATATTCGCTCACACACTTTTCGGACATTCTTATATTTTTGCTCTCATACTCTTGTGTGACACATTGATTCTCCTTGTGTTTGGAAATAGAGTATCATCGCAAACCTAGTGGTCTTCTGATTTCCGTCTTTCTTGCGTCAGGACTATTAAATTCTCGACCAGTACATAACAATAATTTGGCGACGAGTAATAAATTCCCTTATTGTTTAATCATTTAATTATGCCTTGTGTATCACTAAGTCGATGCGTTTTCAAGGTACTGATGCGTATTTTTCGAAAGAAATAAAGAAAAAAAGTGTCTCAGGGGGTTAAATTTTGCTCCATATGAGAAAACACTCCTCCGTATGATGTAGTAGTAGTTATTACTTCTCCTGAGGATCATGTATGAAGGATAAAATTTTACAATCAAATATACTGCATTATGTGTTAACATATTAGATGGTTGGAAGCAATCGGCAGGAAGCCTTGCTCGACCTAGGTTTTGTGCCAGTTTGCACTTAACAGTCATTAAGGCGTACCTGCGACCTTGAAAGAACTCATATCCCTTGTGAGATTCGAACCCGCGCCACCCATTGCTAGAGTCAGTCAGAGAGGTTACTACTGAGCTATTCAAGGTTGTAGATACGCCTTGCTGACGAGTGCCAGCAAGCACGAAACCTATGTTCTGGACTTTTCTCCGATTGCCTCCAACCATCTAGTATCATCAAATCAATGTGCACCGTGTTGGCGAGCTACCTAGAATGGTGGCCACATTGCAAACCTAACTGCAACAAAGAAAGGACTGGACACATCATACTAGTTACTAGTCTCCAAACAAAGTGTTAACATATTGTCTATAATAAAGGTATTATTATTAATGTTGTTTAAATTCTTCCAGTATTGCAATACAAAAATTTTTTTTTCATATTTATTTTAGCCACAAATTTTGGTCAAGAAACAGGTAGGTCGATTGTTACAATTATAACTATGGTACTTAACTTAAAAATAACCATCAGAAATTTGAAAATATTCTGTAATAGTATTACTTATTCCAATTTTCATATGAATTTGTCACATCCTAATACGGAGAAATGGTTAAACAGCTGGGTGAATAATCGTCGGGCATGGCTAGTAGCAGTAGGAAAAAACGGGCCAATTTTGGTTATGATGTGACGTAGAAAGCAAGAGACTTGATAAAGGAATGTGTATTTGGAATTTGGTATCTCTATTTGGCGAAATTATGTACCCCTTATCCGTGAATCGTCATTTTCACAGATCTTCCGTGTTGTGTTATTTCTGCCCTTCGTATTGTGTTTCTTTGTCTTATTTTCGTGTTTGCCATGTTTTCCTGTAACGCTGAATCAATTGCTTTCGTTGACGCCAAATCTATCTCTCCACTGTTTGGTATTTTTATCCAGTGAACGTCTCTTCATATACTGCTGATAAATCTTGTCAGTAGCACATGCCATGATATGACATCATTCTTCCAATTTGACCAATATTTAACCAATACTTTTCTGTGATCCAACGACGAAGCTGTGAAATTACATCAACTGAGATGGTTAGGATATGTGTTACGTTAGCTGACATAGGGTCAGGCCGGAAAAGAGCTAGCGGCGTTCAAACCAAAACATGGCACCAGTCAATGAAATCGACAACAGTTAGTTTAAGCCAGCCAGTCACGTAGGAAGGTGTAGACTTCTTGAATGGTTAGGGTCCTCGGGACGCTAAAAACTAATGGTTGGAAACAATTAGTGACATGGCTCAAAATCGTTCTCAATGGCTGGTGCAGATGCATCCACTCCTTGTGACTTATGATTTCCAATGAAACTGTTTTGTTCTTCGTTATTACTATTCCTTTGTCTCACACCTCTATTTACTGTCTCTATTATGCATTTCTTCTACTTTCTTCTGTTGCTTTGTGTGCTACATGGAGTGTGGCGACTTCAATTGCTGCACATCGGTGCAAAGTTCTATGTCAAAAACAGACAAACAGACATTATCCAACCACTACTTTCTCATTTTAACCACTATTGAAAAGAATATTTCGCCATTTTTACGATTATTTACCCAGAATTTTGTTTTTGTATTACCGTTCTTGTTATTCGCCCTAAATCGTGCCCGTTTTAATCATTATCTAACCATTCTTAGCTTATTTTTGTCCAACTGGGATATTATTTTGGATATTTTCATCTTTTCACTCATTACTTCGACATGATTTCTTTTTCTTCAATGTATAATAGGCCAGAATGAGAATTTCTGTGGCAAAAATATTCGCTAATATGCATCGGTCAGTCACTGATATGGCAATAGTTATGCTAAGTGAATTGAAACGTCATAATTATATTACGCCAACAAATTATTTAGAACTTGTCTCTGGTTATAAAGTGTAAGTTCTTGCTTGTTTGTTTGTTTGGTTTTTTCCTTAAGCATTCATCAGGAAATTTCTTTTATTGTTATTCTTGTATATGTAATAATCCAGTTAGTCTCCTGTGGAGTTGCAAATATTTCTGCGTATGGTTAAAGACTATGCACCTGCATATATGAATATACAGAAACTATAATGACTTTACGTGAATACCCGAGATCTTTTGCTTCTAGTCTACTTCCCATGTATATTGGATGATACAACTAACGTTGGCTTGGATGAAGCAAGAGTTTTACCTTTCTTAAAAAAGAGAGAAATAAAATTCACAGGAGAAACAGATCATTGACGGGATTTTTGCAGCTGTCAATAGTTAGTTTAGTTTAAAACAAGCAAAAAAGTTAATTAAACATGATTTAATGAATTCATCAAATTTCGGTAGAACTTTTCAGCTGAATACTCTACATACGGCAATATATATATATATATACTATTGAAATTACATTAGGCGATATAGGACCGATAAGCAAATAAACTAAATTGAAATAATCATGCAGAACGATACTTGTGAATGTTTTTCAGGTCATTTTCAGACAGATAAGGGGAAGGGAGTATGAGAGAACTAAATCGATTACGCTTCAGTGACATCACATAGATGAACGATCAGTCATTAGAGAATATATCAAGAATTACGAACTGAGTAATATTAATAGTAATAGTAATATATCTCCAAACCAAGTTCACTTTTAATAGTTTGAAAAAATTTGGGCATTGGGTATATGATATTCATTATAATAAAGGTTTTCTTGTATTTCCCAATGAATGAAAAGCAAAACGATATTGATTTTACTAACGTTTCGCTATTTAATGATAATAGCTTTATCAAAGTATTATTAAACCGGAATTCACAAAATCTCAGCATATATACAACAAAGATTTAAGAGGTGAGAAAACATACTTGGATCAAGTTAAAGGGACATATTGAAAGTGAAAATAACAATGAAGATCCCTAAACCAAATAACAAAGGTAATAGTACATATGTTGTGGTATAAAAACAAAGTTTACTAACTTGATCATCCCTCGTCAGTCTGGGGGCATTTTTGTGTTGTCGAATTGGCCAATTGGTAAAGACAACAGAACCAGGTGTAGATTGTTGGATTTGATCAGTTTATAACATTATAAAAGCATTGCGTATTTATTATTATTATTTTATCCTCTAATTCCTAGAGGAACATAGGGCTTTAGCTGCGCGTTTCCATCATCTTCGGTTTTCTGCCAACTTTTTCACCCCGCTCCAAGTCTGACCACATGGTTTCATCTCCTCTTCACATCATCTCCTCCAAGTCACCCTCACACTAACGACCAACTCGACGCTTCCCATTCGGGTTCCACTCGACCAATGGCTTGTCTAGTGATGTCACTTGATGGTTTCCTCAGAATATGGCCGATCCATCTCCATTTCTTCTCTCCTATTTGTTTCACAATCGGTCCCTGGTTGGTTCGCTAATTGCCAGAGATCCCTGTTGATGATCTTTTCTGGCCAGTCATCTAATCTTGAGTATTGAGTGAAGATAACTGTTGATGGAGGTCTGTAGTTTGTTTGAGGTGCTCTTTATGACGCGCTGGCCAAGTCTCTGATCCGTATTATAGCACTGACTGACTTTACGTTGGAGTTGACAATCCGGATGTTATTTTTGATGCTGAGTGCTGTTGACCTCCACACAGACTTGAGAGAAATGAAGGCTTGTCATGTTTTCCCTATCCTTGCTTTGATATCCTCATCAGTTCCGTCCACCTGTATTTGAAACGATGCTTCCCAGGTAGGTAGATAAAGGAGGTTGTTTCTTTCAGGTTTGCCCCATTTATGTTGGCTGACTGTTGTCTGTTGTTGCTGATGACCGGGAATCCTCAGCATCTCTGTTTTCTGTATATTCACCTGAAGTCCTATCTTTGATGCTTCTTCTGCCAACTTGTAAGTTTTCACTTGCATATCTTCCAGTTTGTGGGAAATCAGACATATATACCATCAGTGAAATTCAGATCCCCCAAGTTTTTTGTGTCAGTCCATTTTATGCCTGTTTCCTCGTTGCCCGTTGTCTGTCGCATTATCCAATCTACTGCAATCAGGAAGATCATTAGCGATAGTAGACAACCTTGTCTCACCCCCGTCCTCACTTCGAAGGCTCCCGTAAGTTTCCCGTTTTGGATTACTTGGCATGCAGTATTGTCGTATAACTGTTGGATGAGATGTATAATTGTCGATGGGACCCCGTAGTAGCGTAGTAGTTGCCAAATTACCTCTCGATCGACGCTGCGCTATCGAAGGCCTTTTCAAAGTCGACGAAGTTGAGTTGAGATAGAGAGGTGACTGCCGTTCCAAGCTTTGCTCAATGATGATCCGTAGTGTGGCGATTTGATCAATACCTGACTTGTTTCTCCTGAATACAGCCTGTTCCGGTCGAAGTTTTCATCAAGCGCTTGTTTGATTCTCTCCAGGATGATGCGGCTCAGTATTTTGCTTTGGATGGAGAGGAGCATAATTCCGCGCCAGTTTTTACATTGACTTAAGTCTCCTTTCTTTGGTAGTTTGAATAAGTATCCTTTCTTCCAATCCTCGGGTACTTTGTCCTCTTTCCACACCTTCTCCAGCAGTGGTGTTATCAAGTCCGCTGTTGTCTCTGGGTCCATTTTCAATGCTTCTGCTGGGATTCCATCTGGTCCTGGTGCTTTTCCAGCTTTTAGCATCTTGATTGCATTCAGGACTTCTGATTACGTCGGAGGGCATTTTGCGTATGTACAAAATGGAATTGCTTATCACATTCGTGTCGATTGCGTCATTTCATGAGAGAGGGGTGTGTTATAACCAGGTCATATTCTGTTTTATTCCATCATTCCTATTCAGACAATTTGGATTCTACTTGATATGAAGTGCTTCTGTTATTAGACGTCTTCGGGATTTCTGAAATGCTTTTTCTGGATTATTTCAATATTGTCAAAATCAGCTCTGTGACCTGATTCTGTAGCGTGTAGACAAGCTACGGCTGATGATTTTTCTACCTTTTCGAGTTCAATTGAATCTCTCGGTATTTGAACAGATGCTCTGTGGTGTCCATTTCTTCTGATTTTGATTTCTCGCGATGTTTGTCGTATGTATATTGCATCACATTCCAAACATTTTATTTTATAGACACAGTTAGACAGAGAATTCTTAGGGAGTTGATTTGCTATATGGACAAGAATGCTTTGTGGTGTGTGTCCGAGTTTTGAAGAAAACTCCGATGTCGCGCTTGCTGAGTACTCTTTTGATATAATTTAACGTCTCTGATCTATATAGAATGACAGCTGTTGAGTCCCATGTCATCGGAATACGTTTTCGACCATATTTAATATGTGTTGATTTTGTTGATGAAGTTCCTTGGGTAGTTGTTTTGCTTGAGAGTTTCTGTAATATTGGATATTTCTTCTTCTTTTTCTTTCTCATCCGTTATCAAAGAGTCTGTTCGTCTAAGAAGACTTGAAACAACTGAAACCTTTGCGCTGATGGGGTGTGATGATTTGAAGTCTAAATATTTATTGGAGTGGGTTTTCTTCCTGAATATGGATATACTAAAATGTCCATTTTCCTTTCTCTTGACTAGGCAGTCTAGAAATGGTAGTTCATCGACGTCTGATTCTGCTTCCGAAGTGAACTGGATTCTAGGAGATACACAGTTTATTTTCCCCAGGAATGAACTGTGTGAATCTCGTTTTAGCAATACAAAAGTATTATCTACATATCTTGAAAAGTGTTATCTTCGAATCTACTCACAAAAAGATCAGCGACTATTGGGGAAGCTGTTGAAACCATAGCAACACCATTCGTCTGCCTATAAATTCCATTTAAATATAAAATAATTACTCTCTAGACAGAATTTTAAGCTCCTAATTATTTCACCGGTGTCCAGTAAACATGTTTGTGATAGTGTTGTGTCTGATTCTGGTATACTCAAAATGATATCAAGACTTTTGGTAATGGGAACACTATTAAATAATGAGTTAATAACATAGTTTACGATAATGTCTTCTTTATCAATTTCCCGGTGTTCTATGTTGGATTGGAATACATATGAATCTTTTATAACATTTTGAGTGTCCTTTTGGAGTGGTTTCAGTATGGAAAACAAGCATTCTCTTAGAGGCTGTATGTCAGTGAGTTGGTAGAATCTATTAGTATTAAACAGCGAAACGTCAGTAAAAACAATATTTTTTCCCTTCACGTTCCCCAGTGGAACATTCGACTTCAAGCTAGTTGCTTCAAATTTCTGTAGCAGTGTTTATTTTTACAGGATGGGGTTGCTAGCCTCATGCCCAATCTTTCCTCTTTACCAGCATTATTTCTGGCTTACCGAGGTAAAGGAGTGCGTCTGTGGCCGGGGATCGGACCCCGGACCATGTGTATTGTCGGTGAGCGTCCTAATCACTATACAACCGACGCAAAAACAGTGTCGTTTCATAATGATGACTATACGCAGCGTAGCTAGACTATAATCCAGGGGTAGACTATACAACAGGAATAGAATGAAAATTCAACCAATAAGATTCGAGAACGGGTGAGAAAGATAGGTTGGATAGGTGGAGATATTTTTGGTACAACTCGATAATACGTTGATAACAGTAGTTGGTGGGTGTCAATTCTCACAGTGTTCACCCAGCATCTTTCATTGGCTAAACAAAGAGGTGGTAGTTTATTTCAAAAATTTGATATATTTCCCTGATCTATTCCTGATTCCTGATCACCCCTTATCTAGAAATTCAATTTCCATGATAAGTGAAGAGATTGGATATCAAAACATTAAGCGGAGAGGAGGAAAACAATTCATATTGATCTCAGTAATATAATCAAAAAAAATTTCCGTTGGGTAAGAGTGACAATAACTCCACATTAGTTTATTTATTAGATGTATCACACAGTGAAACAGTATTGTATACTGGATGACGTTTTGAACACAATTTATTGTTCATAATCATATCAATTGTGGTCACA